CCCACGGTTCGACTCCCGCTGGAGGTGTCGATAAGACCGAGGCGAGGTCGGAACAACAATCCAGCCTGGATGATAACAACGGAACGTCTATTCATATGATTGTGGGAAAATTCAGCTACCAGTCTTTCGTCAGCTTAAAAGAAAAAGAGTGAATACATCTCATCAAGCATGCAATTCTATCAGGCCTGCCGTCACTTGGTACTGCACCCGTCCACCCAAGCTTCAGCATCGGCATACGATTCGAGCCCAGTTACACGCTCATCGAAAGGTCCCGTAGACGTTCAGACTTAAAGTTGACCTCTTTCGCCAAACTCGTTCTTGTGGGTCTTTCGGCCTCACAGAAGGTCCGAAGCTGGCCTCCAAGCACCCGCACAAACTCTGACGCACGGCCCCTACCCTGAATGGGTCCCCACAACCGGTTGCTGCCTCTTACACACCAACATTTCACTCCTCACAGAAAATGGTTCCACCAATGACCTCAGAGTCGCCCAAACCACCTTTTGCGAGTGTGTGTATGTAGGTTGGTTGGTGGATGTGTGAGTGGGTAGGTTGCGAAGTCAATGGATGGGCGAGTGGGTATGTGAGTGGGTGAGTGAGTGAATGTGTGAATAGGTGTGTGAATGAGAGGATAAGTTAGTGCCTGTGTGCGCCTACATGTGGGTGTGGGTAGGTGTGTGTGGATTAGTTGATGAATAGTTGAGTGGGTGAGTTGTTAGATGGGCGAGTGGGTGTGTGAGTAAATGGATGAATTAGTGGGTGGATAGAAGATTGGGCGGTTGAGTGGGCGAGTGGATGGATGAGGGGGGGTGAATGAGTGGGTAAGTAGGTGGGTGGGTAAGTGAATGGAAGAGGGTATGTGCACACGCATGTGGGTAAGTGGGTGAGTTGGTGGATGGGCGAGTGGGTAAGGGAGAGAATGTGTTGATTGGTGGATTTGGGGGCCGGCCGAGCCATGAAGTATGCCTTGATTAATAAGAATATATCCAGTCTAGGTTGCTTATCGTAATTTCGGGACTGATGGTTGAGTTTTCCCACACAATCACACGAGAAAACCCGCGAATCTATCAAATTGCACGCTTAGCTCTACCGCCAGAAGGACGACCACATGCCGGCTGGACTGGACTGCAGTTTCGTCCTTGTCTCAACTCATCCTATCAGCAATGCAAAGGGATTCGAACCTGAGTCATGTGTGTATCCTGACGACTTATGACACACACACACACACACCCCATCCATTAGTGCCAGTTGGTCGCAATGCGTATTCCACATTCAAGGTAAATGTGAATTAAGTGAGCATGTATCTGTCCTTGCAGTAGAACATACTAAATATCACAATTATAAGTCGTGTTCGACAGCCTCAGTAATTCCACAACAACGTCGTTATGATACTTTCGAGTCGGTATCGAATCCCATTATGGATGCCAATGAATCCAAATCAGACGATGTCAAAACTGCAGCCAAATCCTGTCCAGCAATCGTGTGGATTCCTTCGGGGAGGAAAAGCTGAGTGTGAAATTCGATGGATTTGTGGATTGAGAAAAAACACAACTATCAGGCCCTAAAACAACTGATATTCCAATTGAGTAGGCCTGGAGTAAGTATTGTATTAACCCTAGCTCACTTACTATGATGAAGGAATCAAATATGATTTTACCCACAATGCTGTGTATGGACCTTGTTATACGCTTAGTTCACTTTCTAAAAGGTATTCTCAGCTCTCATGCACTTGACTGCAGTTTCAGCCTCGCCTGTCCTACATCACATTTTGTAGTGGGATTGTCAATGGGGCAAACTTGTATTTGCCATTAAATTCGACTACATTACTTATATTCCAAGTAAGTAGGTTTAGAAACTACTTTCACCGAGGTGAGTTCAATGGGTTCGTGGGGCCTGCTCATACTAGTTAGGGATAATTCAACTGCCAATGCTCAGCTGAATAAGTTCTTTTTTACATTTTATTTAGAAAAAAATGCATAAATGTTTCTCCTTAAGTTGCGACTACCGAAAAGAAGATTAGATGATGAAAGTCAATTGTCAACTTAATTGCAACTTACACGCTTTACTTACTAGAACTCTATCACACAGTGCTCATCTCGATCGATAAATCGAATTTTTTAGGCAGATTTGTGATTAACGTACCCGTCCCAGGACGAGCTCCGCACGGCAAATGCGTTGGAACATGGTTGCACTCCTCTCCAGCCAACCCACCAATGGAACAAAAGGGTGATACTACAGCGACCAGCTGGGATGGTGGTTGATTAGAGAGCAGAAGACGCTGGCCAAGAAAAGAATGAGAGACAATGAGTCCTGCCTTAATTCAATGTCACGATAGCGATCTTCCATACGAGCTATGAACTGAGTTAAAATCTGAGCATCAATTAGAGCCCTAATCAGACCACCAATCAGAGCATCAATCTGAGCACCAATCAGAGCACCAATCACAGCCCCAATCAGACCACCAATCAGAGCATCAATCTGAGCACCAATCAGAGCACCTATCAGAGCCCCAATCTGTCCACCAATCAGAGCATCAATCAGAGCATCAATCAGAGCCCTAATCTGACCACCAATCAGAGCCCCAATCTGACCACCAATCAGAGCATCAATCTGAGCACCAATCAGAGCACCAATCAGAGCCCCAATCAGAGCCCTAATTTGATCCCCTATTAGAGTCACCATCAGAGCACCAAGCTGATCCCTATTAGAGCTCTAATTCGAGCTTCACTCTACGTCCC